AGAGAAATAGGTCTTAGGTCGCTATCAACTGATTTGGGATTAGATATTTTTGGCGCTGGGATAACGTCTGCTGATTTCCAGAGTGTCGGGATGCAACCTTGTGCAATGCTGGCATTGAAGATGGAACATATTGGACCAGCAAGCAACGCTGCAGCTGATTTCAGTACCCAGTTGGGGATATCGTCGGGGCCAATTGCTTTCTGAAGACTGATCTTTTCCAATTCGATTTCAACTTGTTGGGTTGATATTATGTACTCATCAGGAACAGATGTAATGTGAAGCTTATTGAAGCGGAGTGGGGCAAATTCGTTTGAAACAGCACAGAAAGATTCGGCAATTAGTTCAGCAAGCTCAGGACCTCTTTTGAACTCACCATCATGGAAGATGCTCGAAAAAGGTTCCGATTTAGATAGACCAGAAATAGACTTGATGTTATCGTACCATTTTTTGGGTTAGATCCACTGGTATTAAGGATTTTCTTATCGTAGTAGGACTGACGAGCAGATTTACATAGTTTTCTAACTTTGTTACGATAAACGTTATACATGATAGTGTTGCTGGTTAACCAAGCTTTCTACCTTTTAGAAATGAAGTTTTTTATATCTGCAGTGATCCATGGTTTATCTTTAGGGTAACACTTTATGGTGCGCAGAGGGAGGTGACTATCGATAACAGAGGATAGTTTGTTCGAGAATAGGTTGAATTGATCATCTAGAGCAGTTACGTGGTAAAGTGGGGTCCAGTTGATTTGGGATAAGGTGGTGATTAGGGCTTGTTTGTTTGCGTGTCGACAGTCTCTTTTAGTAATGTAGGAGGGGGTATAAGACTTGAGTGACTTCGGACTTTGTTTAGTCGGGTTGAGGAGAACACTTTGGTGATCAGATTGTCCAATGCATGGGAGTATAATGGCATCAATGTAATGCTTCGAAAGGATAGTGTAAATCTTGTCAAGGATATTGTTACTACGGGTGGGTCTTTTCACAACTTGTTTAAGATTAAAGGTTGAAGTTAATGATCCAGGTTTAAACTGGTTAAGATCCCCTAACAAGACGATGCCTGCGTTTGGAAAATTGATGAGGGCGTTGTCTAGGGATTCAAATAGATGGTTCCTTAGTGTTGAATCGTTATTTTGTGGAGGGTGGTATACAGAGGCTACTACAATTGCATCAATTCCTCTTGGAAGTCTTTTTGGTTTTATCAAGAACCACTGTGATTCAATGTCGGGATGAGATAAGTCTTTTAATTCTAGGAAGTCCAATGTATTTCTGATGTAGGTGCAGAGTCCACCACCACGTTGATCGTCACATCGGTCTTTGCGAATACTTAAAAATCCGGGGATCTTAATGAGATCATTCGTAATGTTTGACGAAAGCCATGATTCTGTGATGATTGCAACATCACATTTATATTTGTAATAGTTGCACTGATCTCATCCAGTTTATTAGCCATTGAACGAGTGTTGTTTTTGAATATTTAATGAGTCAGAAACAAGGAAATGAAAAATTGATGTGAGTGGTATTATGTTGGTGTTCAAAGTCATAGACTCGTAATATCCATGACTTGCCGTTCTTAAGTCATAATATGGCGTACAAGGTTCAGGTGATTGAGCCAATCTTGTGTTCGGCGATTCTTGATGTATTCCCGATGATTCTGTTTTACCAAACTGCCTCGACTCTTCCTGCGGTAGCGTTTCCGAAAAAAAAGACGGCTTTCAGTGCTAAACTTTGATTGTACTGTTTCAACGAGGGGCAAACGGTCTATCCATTCAGCAATCGTGGTACTCCGCGGTGCACACGGTTCAGTTTCTGCTATGGTATTAATGTGTTCCATTCTGGAACTGTTTCCTATTTCGCAAGTATTTGTTACGTTGTGGTCAATTGTTGGTGGTTGGGGACTTCGCTGGATTAGATTACCATGATTAGCTTCACACATTGTTGATGTTTGTGCACTTGGCTGAGTTGAATAATTTGAGTTTTTTTTTTTTTTTTCGGCGCAATTTGTTGGTGAGTGAGTAACGCATGGTTGAATTGAATTAGAGTTACCATGATTAGCATGAACGTTTATTGGTGTTTGAAAGCTTAATTGGGTTGAATAATTTAACTTTTCTTTAGCATTATTATTAGGCAGTACACGATACCCTTGGGAGCATCTAATCTTCTCCCCTACGGTCGCTAGCTCGCCTCGAAGCTGCTCTATCGCTTGTCTGTTAGCCTCCAAATCTCTCGCAGTTTTCGATTCTATAATTACAAAGTCTAACTTGAGGCCTTCTATTTCGGTAGCCAAGTTGATATCAGCAGTCTGTATGACGGATGGGTGTTGAACAACACTCTGCTCCGAGTACAGATCAGTTTGCGTGCCCAGATCACAGGTACTTCGTTTGTCGTCATTTCTAGAATATTCATAATTTACAAACTTTGTATTCAACTGATAGAGATTATTGACAATCTCATGCAGCCCATCAATTTTGCGATTGACTTCAGTCATTTCTGCAAACAGACGACTACAATTTTGACACTCATTTGGTGACTCTCGTCTACTGTTGTTGACTAATACGATAGGTTCTTGTTCGCATGTATTGGCATGGTCGTGCGCCAAATCACTGTTTTTATAGCATTTTATAATCAGATCTTTTAGTTTATTTCCCTCCTCACCTTGAAAAAGCAAAAACTTTTTATTTGCATACCAGGTTAGGCAAATTTGATCGTGCCGAAAACACTTCGCTGATCCCCCAGGAGAATTCCATTTGCCGACATTGTACAAACTTGACACAAAATCCTTTAGATAAGTTAAGTCCCCTAACCATTTTACTCTTCTGTCTTCGCAGCATTCAAGATATTTTCCGTATTTCTGCCAAATATAAGTGGAGACATTTAGAGTGAGATCGAGTTCAGTATAGTTGTTTGTGTTGCCGTCGTTCACAACGCTGTTCACAGCCATTGAGCTTTTTAGTTATACACGGGGAAATTTAAAACGAAATAGAGGCCGCTGATGATCAATTTCTATATGTGTCCTTTCCCAACGATAACCATAAACATTTCAAGTACTCAAGTGTAGAAATGACTTATGCAAGTAAACTATACATTTCAATTTCATTACCATAAAATGGTAATATATGAGGAAGACATAACATATCCCTCTTTGTCTTGATGTGTTTCAAAATATTTCATATTTTATAAGTACATGCAAGCCCATGGAAATTTGTTTTTTAAAAAATACCGCATGAACAGCAGTGTTATATAAGATATACAATTCTTTTAATAAGTATACTGGTTTTTAGCCTAATCTTATAATGTGTTTGACTCGGCGGTAAGATGAAACGTTTTGTTCTCTTGGACCATCTGTCCTCTCAGAACAAATGTCTCGCCCTGCTCTCGAGTTGTTTTCCAAAACTGCAAACAGTAATAACTATTAAGGTAGGTTTTAATTATACATGTTGACAGAATGAGATGTACTGTGCGTAAAACTTTAAAATAAGACTGTTTATTTTCTACGGCAAAGTAAATTCAAAATCTTTTCGACATTGTACGTTTTAAAATCCAAGCATTAATATGTCTACTGTCATTTTCACTTTTAAATTTCAAAGACCTTCTACTTGAAGTATTATGCTGATCAATGGCAAGTCCGCATGCAGACCAAACTATTTATATCTTTATTACTGATGGTGGAGCTTCTGTAATCGTGGGGGACAAGGGCGTAGCCACCCCCCAAATGTGTTGGGGGGGGGGGCGAAAGGGGAGATGGTCTCCAGGAAGAGTTTTAGGATTTCATGCATTTTAGACACGTTTTATGATAATCTGAAAGCCACAGATTTGGTATATTTTATATCATAGATGAAGCATTAAGAGGTTACACCCCACTCCAGTTTCTCCTCAGTGTTGAAAGAATTACAAAATTGATCCTGAAGAAAAGTGTGTGGGCGAGGGGGGAGTTAGGTCATATTATTATTATGATTTTTGGGCATCTCAGTTGATTGAAGAATAATGTTGAAGGATTTTGTAGATGGAAATTTCCAGTGTAAATTTTATACATTTATGATAAACTATCCAGGTTGACTCTGTAGTTCAGTTGGTCAGAGCGCTGCACCGGAATCACAGGACCACAGGTTTGATTCCTGCCAGAGAACCAGAAGCTTGTTAATTTTTATAATTTATTTTTTAGGTTTAGTAATTTTTTTTTTGCTAGCCGTAGTGTATAAAAATGTGATATTTTAAAGTTGTGTAAAGTGCATGATTACCTATAGTTCTCGTTCAAGATATATTATTAGTTTGCAATTGCAGTTTTGCCTTTTCGAAAACAACTTGAGAACAGGTGCGATGGTGAGACATGTAAATGAAAGTTTGTTTTGAAAGTTCAAGTGGACCAAGCGAAAAGCACTTTTCGTCGAGTCGTTAATTACGAAATAAACAGAAATACAAGCTCGCGTCTCGCTTTCGATTTTTACATTAAAAACTATATGTCTCTATGTTATTCTAAACCGACTCACAATAAGGAAGTAATTATACAATATACTACTTTCTAAATAAATATTTCGACCAATGCCAATGCTCCGTGATGACGAGCAGGTCGATATATAAATCGCGAGTTAAATCATCTTTAAATTAATTGCCAAGACTAGATTATTTTTATTTTGATTATTTGAGTATTCTTTTGACAACTATTCCTTGCTATTCTTTTGAATTTTGACCATTCTTTCAGAGAATAATTTCAACACTCAGACATACGCGTTTACAATTCAGTGTCATGGAACGGCAAAAAATCGGCCATTTTAAATCGGTCGTGCATGTTAGTTCAGTTTTTAGCGTAATGATAGAAAAAAATATTTCATTCGATAGCTAAAGGCCTAATCTTTATTTTAGGATGGGAAAATTAAATCTATACATACCCAATACTTAACGCACAATAACATGGCAAATTTTTTATACCGGCTTACATATAATGAAATAATTTTAAGAAATGAAAGCATTTTTATTTTTCTACGTTTTATTGAACTATATATATTTTTGTTATCTTCAGGAATGGATGAATTTACAAGCATAACAGTGCCTTATATACCCTAGTTACAGCTACTGTCTTTCTTATAGTGATGATGAGATGCGTATTACTATAGAGCACTATAAGTGTATAGTTCGTTGTGTTCACATTTACTATGACCAAGATATTGTTAGTGAGTTTCCTTCGAATCTTAAGTTTTTTTTGAAGATATTAGTGCAGCTAGGATTCAACCCACGATTGTAACGCAACGGTTGAAAAGTTTATTATTGAATTGCAGTCCCACAAGGTGGTCACACCTGTTTTTAATTTATCACAATTACACACTTAAGCGCGGGTCAAACGAGAATGAAAGTTAAATGAGAGTTGCCAGTCACGATCGTTGCCCAAAATAAAATAGAATCACTACCTTCCAAAGTATGTATAAAAATCCTGGCACTAAGCAATGGAGAGCAACGCGCAAGTGCAGCATTTTCCCAACAAACACATTTCCCCCAACATCATTAGAGAACTAGAGCGCACTTAACGTATATCATGCATAAATTATACAATGGGCTAATTACGCATTCAATTTTACTCTGTTCGACAAAGCAAGACAAAAATTTTCTATTTTCTCATCCACTATTTTTTTATCCAAATTTGACAAAAATTTAGTTAATTTGTCCTTGCATGGCTGACGTTCAATAGTCGCATTCATTTTCGTACTAATACGTTTGATATTTTAAGTCATCTTGCTGCCAGGCAAACAACAGATGCTCGATATATACATGTTCGACTGTTGACTTATTTTCGTAATTTTAGCCTTCGTGACCTGTCACCAACTTATATGATATGCCACGAACGAGAAGCCGTTGTGAGGAGAAATGAACATTTTAAAATCATTTCATACACATGTATATTTTTGTCAAAAGTGAGAAGTTTTCTGGATTTTACATGCAGTCTCTCTAAAATGTGTTTATTTATTTTGTAAATTTCAATAGTTTGAAATACTCGAATATATTTTCCAAGATCATTTTAAGATGTCTCATTGCGATTAAAAATGGCCAAATAGGAACGACTTGAAACTACCGGTCGAACAAAATTTTTCCTATCTCAGCTGCCACAAAATATTCTCAGAATTTTCAAACACTTGCCCAAATGGAGGTCGCTGTATATGAGAGAAACATTATATATAGACATTGCAAGTTCTCTGCAAACTACCAATACTTAACGCACAATAACATGGCAAATTTTTTATACACCCTGTATATGAAATAATTTAAAGAAATGAAAGCATTTTTATTTTTTACGTTTTATTCGACTATATTTAGTCATCTTCAGGAACGGATGAAATTACAAGCATAACAGTGTCTTATATACCCTAGTTACAGCTACTGTCTTTCTTATAGTGATGATGAGATGCGTATTACTATATAGAAAACTATAAGTGTATAGTTCGTTGTGTTCACATTTACTATGACCAAGATATTGTTAGTGAGTTTCCTTCGAATCTTAAGGTTTTTTTGAAGATATTAGTGCAGCTAGGATTCAACCCACGATGTAACGCAACGGTTGAAAAGTTTATTATTGAATTGCAGTCCCACAAGGTGGTCACACCTGTTTTTAATTTATCACAATTACACACTTAAGCGCGGGTCAAACGAGAATGAAAGTTAAATGAGAGTTGCCAGTCACGATCGTTGCCCAAAATAAAATAGAATCACTACCTTCCAAAGTATGTATAAAAATCCTGGCACTAAGCAATGGAGAGCAACGCGCAAGTGCAGCATTTTCCCAACAAACACATTTCCCCCAACATCATTAGAGAACTAGAGCGCACTTAACGTATATCATGCATAAATTATACAATGGGCTAATTACGCATTCAATTTTGCTCTGTTCGACAAAGAGAGAGAAACATTTTCTCTATTTTCTCATTCACTATTTTTTTATCCACATTAACAAAAATTTAGTTAATTTGTCCTTGGGTGATGTTTAATAGTCGCATTCATTTTCGTACTAATACGTTTGATATTTTAAGTCATCTTGCTGACAGGGAAACAACAGATGGTCGATATATACATCTTCGACTGTTTGACTTATTTTCATAATTTTAGCCTTCGTCACATGTCACGAGTTTACATGATATGCCACGAACGAGAAGCCGTTGTGAGGAGAAATGAACATTTTAAAATCATTTCATACACATGTATATTTTTGTCGAAAATGAGAAGTTTTCTGGATTTTAAATTCTTTCCGGCTAAAATGTGTTTATTTATTTTTTAAATTTCAAGAGTTTGAAACGCTCGAATATATTTTCCAAGATCATTTGATGATATCTCATTGCGAATAAAGATGGCCAAATAGGGAACGACTTGAAATTAGCGGTCGATAACAAATTTTTCTATCTCTGCTGTCGCAGAATATTCTCAGAATTTTCAAACATTTGCCCAAATGGAGGTCGCTGTATATGAGAGAAACATTATATAGACATTGCAAGTTCTCTGCAAACTTCAGGTTTCGTAAAATGTTTTATCCACAAAATTTCGTTGTCTAATCGCGTGTTAAATCATCTTTAAATTTAATCGCCAAGACTAGATTATTCTTATTTTAATTATTTGAGTATTCTTTTGACACGCTATTCCTTGTTATTTTGAATTTTGAATATTCTTTCAGAGAATAATTTGAACACTCAGACATACGCGTTTGCAATTATCATGCATGGAGTGGCTGAAAAATCGCACGCAATGATACAAAAAATATCTTATTCGATAGTTCAGGCCTAATCTTTATTAGGATGGGAAAATTAAATCTACATACCCAATACTTAAAGCACAATAACATGGCAAATTTGTTATACACCCTGTATATAATGAAATAATTTAAAGAAATGAGAGCATTTTTATTTTTCTACGTTTTATTCGACTATATTTTAGTTATCTTCAGGAATGGATGAAATTACAAGCATAACAGTGCCTTATATACCCTATAGTTACAGCTACTGTCTTTCTTATAGTGATGATGATATGCGTATTATTATATTAAACAATATAAGTGTATAGTTCGTTGTGTTCACATTTACTATGACCAAGATATTGTTAGTGAGTTTCCTTCTAGCTTTAAGTGTTTTTAAAGAATGGTTATTAATGCAGCTAGGATTCAACCCGTCGACATATTTTCATGCTTTTCAGAACTTTCAATCCTTCGGTACGTAACACCTTGTTTTTCCAGTAAAAGATTAAACAGTTAAATGTACAATTCATTAAAGATATGGTTATAGTCCACATCCATGCGAGGTTTGCATTATTCAAAGTATTTTTTGTCTCTGGCGAGTTTATTCTTAGTCGAATGTAGACGAACGCTGGAATGGAGACTACCACAACACAAGCGACTGCCAGCAAACAACTCGATATATTTTTCAAAGAAAACGTCTTTTTCATATCAGGCGATAATCTTTTCTTTTTACGACTTTTCCTGACGACTAGAAACAGCTTGTAGTTGATAAATAACATTGCAGGAAGGACAAGTATACAAATAATTAGAAGATGTACTTGGAAGGGAATAACAAAGTTGTTTACAGTCATCACTCTCATAATTACTTCGGCGATGATCAGTATTGCAAGAAGAGTTAAAAGTCTTTCCTTCGTTACCGATGTTCGATGAAAGATAGGATAAGATGTCGCCAAATATCGATCAAAATTCATCACCAAAAGAGCGAAGTATGAAAAAACAAGAAAAATACCTGTCGATCTTAAGGAAGTATGAGCCCATCTAGCATTTGCATCCAACTTTCCCGTCAACCATGACATCAAGATGAGGGCATTCAATGGATTATTAGTTAAAACCGCGAGCAAATCGCAACAGGACAAAAGCATTATCATGAAATAACATAATTTCTTTCGAAGTTGTACAGATCTCCAGAAACTGAGTATGACCAAGGAATTTAAACATAATCCTGAGAAAAAGAAGAATACGTTCACAGCAAATATGAATATCAGGTTGATAAAATAATAAGATTCCATCCTCGAGCGACTTCTTCTGAAGAATTAAACCGATTGTAACGCAACGATTGAAAAGTTTATTATTGCATTGCAGTCGCACAAAGTGTTCACACCTGTTTTTAATTGATCACAACACAGGCGGTCTAATCTTACCCTGTGTTATTAATTTATTACGTTATATCTTTATATAAATAGTATATTGAAAATCATTAGAAAATACTGTGTTATTAATTTATTACGTTATATCTTTATATAATAGTATAATGAAAAGCACTTAATGTGTTTCCTGAAAGATTTTAACGAGAACCGGCCAAGATTGGCGTTGACAAGAGGTTAACGGCCATAGTTGGGGTTGACATGAGGATTAACAGCAAGAAATAATACAAGGCTGGTCACTTTGACCGTTAATTGGACTAATTGGGACAAACGCCGACATAAATCAATCGAATAACGCGAACTTCGGCTGTCGCATCCTCGCCAAATTACGTTACATCGGAAGAGCGATAATTTTTACATAATATTCTTTTCTTTAACAGAATTGAACAATAATCTTCCTGCAGAAAATGCCAATTGAAACTTACAAATGTCTAATCTTCCGAGGTCCGTGATCGATCTGAATTCATGGCCTTCAAATTCGAATTACACGCTGCATTGTCATTGGTCGGCTTTCAAAACAACAACAGGACATTTCCGGTAAGAGAGCGAACGTTGTTTTGAAAGCCGACCAATGACAATGCAGCGTGTAATTCGAATTTGAAGGCCATGAATTCAGATCGATCACGAATCTCGGAAGATTAGACATTTGTAAGTTTCAATTGGCATTTTCTGCAGGAAGATTATTGTTCAATTCTGTTAATTTAAAAAAAAGTATATTATGTAAAAATTATCGCTCTTCCGATGTAACGTAATTTGCCAAGGATGCGACAGCCGAAGTTCGCGTTATTCGATTGATTTCTGTCAGCGTTTGTCCCAATTAGTCCAATTAACGGTCAAAGTGACCTTGTATTATTTCTTGCTGTTAATCCTCATGTCAACCCCAACCACAGGCGGCCCAGACGTGTATCAGTGTATAGTAAATATATCATTATAGAATATACCTCTGAGAATATACTAAACAATAAAATTTGTAATGAATTTTATATTTTAAAATCATATTTACTTGCCTGCTTTGATTGTATGTGATCGTCTTTTATTTCTGAGCGACTTTACATTCGATGCCTGCGACTGCCTTCATAGGTGATAGTATTGAAAGCAAGGGCTAACGATTCCAGTTCTCAAACAGCCGGCACGAACAATTCAAATCGAAAAATATCCCCTTCAAATTGCTTTGTTCCCGGTAAAACTTCGCCAGCGTATAGAATAAACACCCATCTTCGAACATACAAGGCAATATTAACACGTCCTGTAATTTTTGCAATGGATTTTTAGCGAAATGTTTCGAGACTAAAATTCTATGGAACTTAGAAAGACCGATAATTACTACGGCGCCTGCTTGGCCACCTAGCCTCCTATACCGTTTGGATTGTCAGGGGGGGATTCAAATAAAAAACACCTATTTCCGGCAACAGCCAGCCAATCAACGCCGCGATACCGACTGTTTACAATATTTGAAATCTGATATTGCAATTTATCAACAGCAAAACTCTTTCGATCGTATACAGCTCTCTTTCTATTTTATACTATACGATCAATCGATCGAAAGAGTTTTGTTGTTGATAAATTGCAATATCAGATTTCAAATATTGTAAACAGTCGGTATCGCGGCG